GAAAGCGAGACCTTGAATTAACGATCTTTCGAATATGAGTACAACGTTCAGTCAACTGAGCGACAGTTCAGGAAGGTGTACAATACGAAAGTGTCTATCAGCATCTGGCTGCAGTCAGTTATTCTTTAGAATAATAATTTAATAAAATAATTATATGGTTTTGGAGGTTATTTTAGACCTATATGAAAACCATTTGTTACTTCGTAGTTAACAATGTTAATACCGGATTGAAAAGCGAAAATACACCGTGTAAAGAAAGAAAAATTTGTTTCTCACTATACAGTAGCAGCTCATTGCTTCTGGACGCCTAAGGGGACCATTTAAACAGGCCACAGCTCTGGTATTTAAGCACCTACAGTGTAGTAGTTGAATAAAAGTATACTCAACCAAGATTGCCACGATCCGCTGGAGAACGGTAGACAAAGTGTAACCCTGATGTTTTTGGAGACCTTTCAATACCGTCGCTGAAGATATCAGTGGCGTCGGAAAAACTTTATATGATTAGTATAACGATAGTGTACAGTTCCTAATAATTCATAACGATAGTGTACAGTTCCTAATCTCTCTTATTTTCAGAGTTAGATGGCAGTTATCATATGCGATTTGATATATGACATTTATGCTCTCCATCGTGTGGTGAATATTAAGCTTTTTATGCAACAGATTTTCTAGTGTTGTTCCTGCAGAAAAATGCATTGTAGCCGTAATTGTTTATAACAGATTTCATGGTATTTATTCAAACCAATGCCTATCTGTTCCTGTGGGCTGAAGTTGTGAAAAACCACCACAAAATGTGTATCTTGGGAGTAGATTGGCAGCAGGCGGACGAGTGATAAATGAAGTTACGAGGTGCTGTGCTTTGGCAGTTACAGCGAACAAGAAGTTCTTCATGCTCTGGAACGATAAAGAGGTTGCAGTCGTAGAAAGCTGCGGATGTATTAGACTTGCATTCTTAACATCCTTCTCTGTGGCTTGGAAATAAAAGCATTTAACAAAACTGGAATCGGAAAAAATGGAAGCGATGGATATCACGAATGTGAAAGTTTCACTGATATCAGTATTCTTTCATTTTCATGATTGGGCTATTTGAACACCATTCTTTCCGTTAAGTTCATGGTGCAGTGCTGATGTCCGCTTTTATGCCATCAGTCTGGAGTGCCTTATTTTAAGGATAGCGCCTATAGCCTTATAGTAAGCGTAGCATGTAGTCTCCTGTTTCCTTCCTACAGAAGGCTACTCATCTATCAACCTCAAATGGAAGAAGGATGAGTGACCCTGACCGTGGCTTGAACCCAGGACCTATCGGTTCTGAGTTCGACTTACCAGTCGTAGTCTGAAGCAGTGTGATAAATTCGCTGCTCAAAGGAATTAGTAAATTAGGCAGATTGCCCTCGATCACAGTCTGATCCTTGATTTACGAGTTCGAAGCCGACCTCTTGGACAGTCAAGTTGTTACAAAAGAGAGATTAGAATATCTGACTGAAATGACCGATAGAAAGTAAACAAGGTGTTTAAGATTGTGAGGCAGCTGTTGTCGAATGGACACTAACCGCCTTTTCAAGCAAATTTTGACCGCAAAACTGATAGCAGATGGCAAAAAAAAAACCTCCAGCATCATGCCAACATCTGGTTAGAACTCGTAGGAACGACTGGTCATCGTCGTTGGATTAATGATGTCTAACCCTTTCGCTTGTCAGAATGACTGCAGACAATTACCTGAGCGTGAATATATTAAATGCAGGTGGAATGGTTGTACAGTATTTCTTCGTTGCCAATCATCCACTGCAAGGTTCATTAGCATGAGTTTATGAAGTTATTTATGATAGTCACTAGTTTCCTTCGAAATCATGAGGCAAGGTTGTATTTCCATTGTTACGAATTTTCTTGTAATGCCTCAAGACTGATTAAGTACCTTGATTAGCATAACTATTTACTACCTTACGTGAAAAGAGTTGTCAGAAAATAATGTGACAAAACTTCGCTTTGATATCATTGCCTTGAGGAAGACTGAATGGGCGTTTTACACACATGGTCAAACGCTGTATCAGATGACATATATTTCAGATTCTATATCATGCATCTGCACAGTAAAAAAATACTTGATTACTTATTACTGCCTGACAAATGGCTGATTTGCATATGTTTAGGGGTTGTCATGATTTTGAACAACCTCTTAGAATATTGGATTTGGTGCTTTCGGTTTATTAAGTTCTTCAGATTTGATATATTTTAAACATAATTCGAGTCTATGTCTGCGCAATACTTCAGATGTGCGTTCGCAAAAATGATTTTATTTTACGATATCTCTTAAAGCATTTTATCAAAGTGAGTTTAAAATCAGTTTTGCTACATTTTGGTATGTAGGTTATTACCTATGCTTTACTTACTCACTAGATTTATTGATCGTTTTGTTATAAAATACTTCAACTTCTATTCATATTCCGAATAAGATTTTAAAAAAATCACCAAAATGGGATATGCAATGTAATATGATTAAACAGAAGATGAAACAAAAATGCGTTTTACAATATAACCGATGAACTACAAATGTGGTAGATCAGCTATGAGAGCGATAGGAAATCTGACGGCGCGATTCCATCGTAGTAACCGTCGTTTCTTGAATATTCCCTTGCGCCACAGATCATTTTCCCTTTTTGGCATCTTTTCAAGTCAGCTGTGAAAGCCGTAAAGTCTTGGAGACAAGAAATCAGTTAAACAGCTGATACACGTAAGGCCATTCTTTGTCGGTCCACTTCCCGACGGTTTTAATGTTAGAGCCGGATTTGTGCCATACATATTTCGAAGTGTGAAAAACCTTGAACCAGGTCGAACCGTAATCCGTCGTGATGAATTCAAGGCTATTGCATGGCACGTAAAACAGTTCGCCCAACAGCTCCGCCGAACACAATCCTTTAAGCTTTGGATATGTCCACCTAAAAAGTTTCAGAATTCGGTATCGTCTGTACGCATGTCGTATTACATCACTCTGGGTTTATTCTTTCGTTTTACGTGTTAGCGCAGTGCAATACTAGAAATGAGTTTTTTTCTACTGACTTTCTCACTACTACTCATCGGACATAATATAATATCTACTTCAGTACAAAATGAGCAGTTCAGTGAAACAATGCTCAGAATAGGGTGGGCGAAAGGCTTTCGCCATGGCAGAGCAGTCATGTCGAGAGGATCATTCCATCGTTTAATGACATTCAAGTCATATCGTATCAAGAAGGCATACGCATCTGATGAAATTGAAAGATTCTAGAAGCAACTGTGCAAGCGAAAGTGGATGACAAGATCTGAAGGAAGGAAATCCTTCGGACTGCTTTGACATGGATTCTATCTCTAAGCCATACAAATTGTCAGAGCCTCAATCGCCTCTATATTCCTAGGGTCGCTTTATGTTTTATATGAAATTCAACGTCAAATTAATTCGCATTTATAACTTCACCAAAGCTGAAGCAATGCTAAACCCGAGCCGGTATCGATTCCTACTCGTCTTTCAGACGTGTGGTATCTACCAGATTAACATTACATTACTGCAATACTGGCGTCGTCATGAGATGCAAGACTGCTGGAGTTTTTGCGCAAAATTTGACGGTGGTCGCATCGCACTGTCTTTGAGACTTACAGAACTGTCTAAGCAGTCAATAAAACAATATATTCATAGAAACTCATAAAAATACCAATTTTAATTCAGACCCTTAACTTAGACTCATGGAAAGTTCGTTTCAACGAAAGACCATCTGTTCATGCTACCGTGAGGTGTAACAAGTTAACCAGGTTGTTAATTTTTGACAGATAATCACAACTGATCACTTGGCACGATCTGATGGACAGATTTATTGCAGTCACCGTCACTGCAGAGGAGTATATCTATAACAAGGTTCGATTTGATCAATCAGATGATATTTTTTAACAGAAGCAACGGTGTGGGATTGTCATCAGTTCGGGGAGTATAACAAACGATTAAGTGAGGAAGACGACATCCAAACTTCTCATGAGCTTTACTACGCCTCAGCAATCCACTGGTCGTTTCTCATCCACCTTATTAGAATAATATACGGTACACAACGGCACTGGTAATGCTTCCGTCTTGTTAACTAACGTTCCCTGAAGGTGGATTCAACTCGAATCGAAACGTGGGGATTTATATTAATAAAATTTGTACGCGAAGTTAACCCTTTAAAGATTCTGACATAATATCATAATATTTTTGTTATTGCAAATAATCATTAATTCTTCCAACATGAATCTCGTTACATACCGCACTGTCTTCGTGTTCACAGATGCTTAGAGGGTCATTTTCAGCAGGCTATCGCGCTATGGAATTTGTGCGTCTGACGTATCTCACTACTTTGTTTATACCTTATACCAGGCTTGCTGCAACAGTATTGAGTGTATCTATACAAACAGATTATTACTGACTAGTTCCCAAAGACATGTTCCGTCATCTTGAGGGTGATGCACCGATCGGATGCTTTTTTATACAAGGTTAGCTTCGACATAAAAATCATACAGTTTTTATGGCCCATGTTTTGGTCGCAGGATAATGTTTTCTTCAAGAAGTAATACACAAGATAAATCTTACAGTAACAAACAAAGACCTTAGCTTCTGTAACTGTACAGAGCAATCTTCAACCTTTAACGATGTCAAAAGAGGCTATACAACTGTTGCAATGAGTGAGTGTATGTTGCACATCTCATAACTGAATAAACTTGCGAAGTAAATTTGTAAATTGTCATGCTATTTGAATTATTGTCATTTGTTCTGTTTGTGAGCGGTTTCATATATATATATATTTTTGCATTGCTTTTACCCGAAGGCTGAATGCACTATAAATTGTGAATAACGTACACAAACACCTGTAAATGAACAGAAAGTACAGAGATGCTGTAAATGTTTTACGCAAGTACCTCAAGTATACCTGAGTTTCGTCTTTGTTTGAACTACCATACCGCCTACCCAGGAGCTGTCTCCACTGTCGTACAAAGTGAACACGTCGTATTTTACATCGTTCATGTAGACGCTGAGCTCGAGTGAATCATCTGGCTAAAAATTAAGGCTGAGGATTTAGCTTACAGATTCGGTTCCTTTGATCGATGCTACCTTTCCAAGGATCCAGTAAAGTTTCATCCGATCATCGTTTCTGAAAGTCTTCTCGATACTGGACGTATATTCAGAGGCTAGGATTGCGATGTCAATGTCTGTCGTATGGGGGATGATTCCACATTCGCGATACCAACCTGAAAACAAAGATTGCTAGAAACTTCCAATTCAAAAAAATACCATTCATCCTGAGCTTAATGGTTAATTATCATTATAAATATGGGTGATGCAGTAACTCCAAGTGGCTGATCAGTTTGCTGTCAATCATCTACAAGATCTTCACAAAAATACTAACGAACAGAATTCAGTAAAACTGGAACACTGCTACTCCAAAAGGGCATGTGGAATTCAGACGTGAATACAATACAATTAATCATCTTCAGGCGGTACATAAAAAGTCCAAACGAGCAACGAATATTAGCATCCTACCCGCGTGGGGTTCGTTCGATTTCAATATTTTTTTTTACTCAGTCATCATCCGTTCTGTACTGGATTCCGGAGAATGGAAAAGAATATAGAGACCTCGTCGTTATGATTTACAAGAATGCAGCTGCTAGTGTGAATCTGCACGACAGCACAAGCAAGTTCAAAACGGGAAAGTGCGTTCAACAGAGACGCAATGTTATCAAGTTGTTTACGGTAGTATTTTAAAAGACTTTCAAGACTCTCTGTTGAGAAGATCAGGGGGACTGAACATAAACAAAAACTGTTTACAACGCTGCAGTATGACGATGGAATTTTAAACCTCCTAATGCCACCAGAAGAATCTAGAAACTGAAGACGATAGCATAAATGTAGGACTGAAATGAGCCTGAAGAAGACCCAAGTCATTATTACCCAGTACGTGACCCTGTGACCTCTTGAAGTCAACGGACTTAGACTTGAAGAGGCTAAAACTATGCATACCTGAGAGAGTGCATTTCTGCAATGGAGAACAGACCCCATGAAATTAACAGAAGAATAAAAATTGCATAGAGCACTTAGAAGACTGCAAATGCTCTTATCAAGGAAACTGCTCTGCTTGCAGAAAATGAAAGTGTGTGCGCGCTCTCAGTGACACCTATGTATGAGAAACGTGGACCCTACGCGTGAAAGCTATTCATAGACTGCGCAACATTGCATGAAAGGATGTATGTTAGAGTTAGCCATAAGAAGAACTCGTCAGAAAGACGAGTAACGGATAAAATCACAAACAAGAGCCTGCGATGTCGTTGTACAAGTGAAAAAGTTAAAGTAGCACTTGGCAGGGCTCCAATAGAGAGAATGAAGGCCTCCAGATCGACAGAGGATGAGTTGAAGAAGTTCGCTGGATAAAGATAGATAAAAATGACAAGAAATCAGAAGTCATTGGCCAAGTCTTGGAGAGATCTTCGTCCAGTAATGGATCGAAAATAGCTGATGATGAGAACAGTGCCGAGTAACGCCAAATAATTCATTAGAATTAGAAATATTCTCGTACTCCAAGTTTTTGGACCTGTTTTTTTTTGAAGTTGCCATCAAGGCATAAAAGAAGTATCGGCTACAAAAAAGTCATTAACAAATAAATGTTATTGCTCCAGTCAGTGATAATACTGGAAGTAACGATGCCCTGCATTGGATATTTTCTAAACCTCTGAGCGCAAAATAATGCAGTTATAGTTTTAATACGAGTAGCATTGTTAGGCATAGATCCGAGAAAAATATTTAGCGAGCCTTGTGGGTTCTGTATTTCAGAGAGATGTTACAAGAACGAATTCTTAGATCAATCTTGAATGTAATAGCGATGGAACATTTGTTACTGAAATCAAATGTATTTTTCGGATGTAATAAGTTAATTAACTCCTCCGTTCGAAAGAAGAAAAGTTGACCCCTCTACTTCGAAACAAATGCCATGGCGAGTACAGCTTGCACCTAAGCTTTCTAGAAGAATTACGTTCAGGGCGATGTTTGAGAATTTCGCCTTGCCGCTGAAAGACATCAGCATCAAACGAACAACGTTGCAAACTTATAGGCTGAAGCAGAGATGAATGGCAGTTAATAAACCTAAAACATTCCTTTCCGAACTGAAATCGTCTGCCAGCTGCGTTTGGAGTCAGGAAGCATCGCCCGCTGTGAATCATCGACTGTCGACACACCACTGACCTTTCAGGCATATCTGAACGGTCACTGAGCATGCATTTGCGTTCTGAAGCGCTATCGAACCATGCCGAAACGACTCCTAATGACCGAACGAAGAAATGAGGGAAATTGGAACATTTGAGCTTATGTCGTCGTTATCTGAAACGGTATGCTCGACTGAGGAACATGTACAAAGCACATCCAAACGGACCATGAATGGAATGTGGCAAAAGTCTGGCTCTAAGGGAGAATACATACATATATACATACAAACATACATACATTTGTACATTTCGCACACAAATAAACAAACTGCATTACATAACACTCACAGCATCCTCGATTGTCTGATACTTTAAAGTGTATGAAGACTGATGAGTCCAATTAAGAGAGATCGATTATTCCACGCAACGCAATGAAGCAGGTTCATCAAGAAGGTTAGCCGAGATAGGTAAAGATGCCTAATTATCTTCGCTCAGCAAAATCTACTCATATGGATGCGCTTATAAGAACACTATTCTTTTTCAAGAGTCATCGTTGGCGTCTTTACCAGCTACCAGAAATACCACTTGCTCAGATTCTACAGGCACAGTGAAAATGAACATCGATCGGTGAAGTAGCGACTTTGATTACAATGACTTTTGGTCAAGACAATGCCTGACCACTATTTAATGTAAAATATGCCTGACGATTTAATGCATAATTTAAAAAAAACATCTGCGTACTTTCAAGAGATACACAGACGACACGAACGGGCTAAAGAAGTTCACGTTGAGAAAGTAGACCGGTTGGCGAGCGTTCGATTCTATCAAGGACGTTCTCCTCCGCAGTGTATTTTCTACGTGTTGATAGCAACGTAACTCCGCCATGGCCGGTCCCAAGCCCGGATGAGAAAGGAGGAGGGTTGGAGACCGTGGCAAGTC